GAGATGTAGCTCAGAAACTAGAGGGAATTAGGTTTCAAGAATGGCAATTTGGGAACAGCGCCGAAGGTGTTCAAGCAGGCTAGTTCAGTTTAAAAGCGCATATAAATGTGAAATACTCCTTTTAAGACTCGCCCGGGCGCGTCTCGCGTCCGGCTCGAGCGCGTCCATATCCTCGCGCTGGGCACGCCCATCCCACGCGCCCGTTCCCCGCGCCCATTCCTCGGTGGAGTCATTCCCCCGGTGGAAACATTCCCCGAATTTTGGTCCGATTACGAATAGGACACATTACACTCACACATTGTTACACATACTTACGTCAGTCTCCCCCCCCCCCCTCATCCCCCAGCGTCAGCCGGGTGATCATCCACTTCCGGTTAAAGCATATTATCATTGAGTGTACTAAATTTCAACAGCGGCGCAAACATATATAGACCTACTGCCGTAGGCTTATAAGGACAAAACGCCTCAAACAAATAAAGTGCAAAATGGAAAGTCGTTTTAGTTTGTGTGAGTTTATTAAAACTTTTTTGCCTGTACAGGGAAACATGATCTACCTGATATGGGCATAGAACGGGCATCTCCCCGGGCCGGGCGCCCGTGTCCCCTCCCCGCTCGTCAGGGGTCCTCTCTGGTGGGGATCTTCCTCCCGTGGGGATCCTCCGGGGCTCACGGGAAGGAGAGGGGGGACTTTGGGGAGAAGCAAGGACTTTCCGAACAGGGACGGCGAGGGGGGGGGGAGGGGCACGAACGGCAGCCGGAAGAAAACACCCCGTGGTGGGACAGACTGACCTTCAGCTCTCTCCCAGGAACAATAAGGTGCCCCCTAGTGTTCTTATCAAGGGGTCCCTTTCGCAGAAAAAAATAATGGGGCTCATTAGTGTTGAATAGAGTGGGTCGAAATCAGTAAACAAAAAAACGAACCAGGCTATCGCATGTTTTCCTAAGAGCGTTTCTTCTTTTGCAGAATAGACTGATGAAACAAATTACATAAAAGGTTTCAGCATGCGTACCAGCAAATTCAGCATCTCGAGAGCATGCACAGCAATGGCCCGGGTTGTAGTGTCCGCAGAAACCGAACGGCGTTGGCCACTGCAAGTAATGCAGATGGTGGTGCTGTGCGTGTAAGACCGACCGTCGTAAAAATGGTTTCGAATGCCTTTTAAAATTCATAGAAGTCATTCAAAGGATGAGGCCGGGTGCATCTTTTCTACTGCTTTGAGATTGTCCCCGGGACAGATAAACAGTTAAACAACACGAAGAAGAGAGAACTATTACTATGTTTCAGATTTTCGGTTCAATTCTACTTTGCGCTGCCGTAATGGCCAACCCGTTCTCATCATCAATCTGAAAATTGCACAGGTAAAATACACCCCCGGAATACCTCCGAAATGTGCAATTTGATAATCCTACAAAGTAATCCTACACATTCCTTCGAATGAATTTTCACTTTCGTTCTCCCGTTGACCACGGCTCAGTGTCAGCCGAGGGACCAACGCTGCGCGGCCTATGGAGACTACAATGTCTGACATCGAGTGTTTGCTTGCCAAGATTTGCAAGCGGGCAACTACGTTACATAAGTTGCATCATGTATCAATTCTGACTGAATGTTGAGCATTTCCAGACAAACATGGCTTGGCAGCGTTGGTGTCAAATTTGTTATTTGTTTTGATCTACATTCGCAGTGGTCCATATCTCTGTACAGCCCATGTAAACAAATTTGAAAGAGGCTTCTTAGTTCTATCGGTTTAGAAAGAGTCAACTGGATCATTGCAAAATGAACAGTGCCAGTGATTTATTTCACGCAGTCGTTTAATGCATGTTTGTTAATTATGAATTCAGGCGGAGTTGATCTTGCGGTAGCTTCTGGCTTCTATTCTAGTTATAGCAGGTAAAAATGAAAATATGAGAGGCAGAGCTCCTTCATTAACAACTAGACCATGTTCGGCTAATTTTTAGTGTGTGGGGGGGGGGGGCTGTGCAAGTAAGAACAACCGTTGTAAAATGGTTTTGAATGTATTCTAAAATTGATTTGGTGCCCTTTAAGATAAGGCTGGGCGCATCTTTTTCTACAACTTTGAAGCTCTTACCATCAGGGGCCCTTGTCAAGCCTGTGTCCCTCTCCCCTAACCAAGGCTCTGGCCACGCGCCTGTTCCAGCGTGGTGATGTTTTATCCCATGTGCCTTCCTTTACTGTTGGAGGCAAAACGTCGTTGGCAATATTGAATTTGGTCTAGGTTTCAGCTACCAGGAAGTTCGATTCGTTTTATTTTTCCTTTTGAAATTGGTTGCGGCTAGAAAGCCACCTTATTAGAATCTTGCTGTTCTGCTTGCTCTAGCGTATCCAGAAGTTCTTCGGTAGATCGCCCATGTTTTGCCTCCTTTGTGGAGAGGAGTCAGGGCATAAAATCACAGCCAGTGATCGATGTCACCACCAGACGTCACTCGATCACGTCAACAGCACGCCGTTTTCTGGTGCACGCGAGCCGTTTTTGTCCCAGGACCCCGGACGGCCTAATAGAGTTACAGTGCGACTTTTTGCCAACACAAGATTGATGCTGGTGTAGGACGGCACGGCTCGGCTGCGGCTGAGGGTTTGTCGCGTGTCGGTGTCGGTGAAGGCCTCGAGACCCCGGAGTCCTGCAGCATTGTCCAGTGTCACCCCTACCACAAACACATGCCCAGGATTACTAACGAGAGAGGGACGTGCCACATGCAGCTGAAGCAGAAAAAAAACGGACCGGGGTCGGGAGGCGTGGAAATAACGAATGACGAGGCGGAATGAACGCCACCGGAAGATGACCAATTTGGACGCGAATAACATATTACGGTCAATTTGGGAAGTGATTCACAAGACACAGCCACTCGGACCGTAATTTCACGACCCGTTGTAGCATCATTGCCGTGACCACGCCGTACGTTCGGTGTCAGGACCATGACCACACTCATAGCATGACAGGCTCAAAAAAGCATTCACCGTCATTATTATGTGATTGCGACTTTAGCGGGCGTCTCACATTTAGAGGAATGTTCAAAACATACCCTAGTGAAGCATTATGAACCTTACGGCTTATAACAATAAAGACACGCCTAATGATCGCGCTGGGTAGTTGCCACTGCAGGACAGTCGAGACATAATAGGGCGATCAATTTTCACGATTGATGAGTTCCAAATTACACTGTCAACGCCTTGTAACGGCGCTACGTTCTTCACCTGCGGTCGCAACCTGCTGTCGTCATGCCAGCCACCGTGAGCACTGGTGCGAAATAAAAGACTTTCTGATTGGCCCAGCGGGTAAGACATGTACCGGTTAGTTGGTTGGTTGCAGATTAAGCCAGTGCGCGACATGGATATGTCAATACTTACGTTCCCGAAGCCGAAGTGCGCATCGAAAACAGCGACTGTGGTGGGCGCCACAGAGATTAAAGTCGTAGCATAATGTTTCGTTGAATTCGCGGGGGTAAAAGTCTCATCTCGCATATCTTTTTGTCTTAGGAAGGAATGCATTTTTTCGTAGCATTTATTGCACAACACTTTGACACATGAGTGTTTTGTAAACATCACTGAATACACAGACTGGGAAAAGTAACGCGGATGGGATGTGTTGCTTGGACTGTAGTGAGCAGGAAGTCAACAAAGATTTTTCCCGCAGGGTCGGGAACTTCAAATTGCCACTATGGGCTAATCTAGACGGTTTTCGAGAAAATCTGTATCACTGATCAAAGCATACGCGTCTGATGTAACAATAAGTAAAAAGCGAAAAAAGGTGGGATAATGGAATCATGACTTCAAATGATGGAAACAAATCGAGGCAATGAAATGAGGCGAAGGGTTTGTGCAATGAACGAACACTTATGACGGAGCGAGCGCTCCCAGCGAGCAGGGCAGCTGCATTACTGAATCTTTAAAATGCCACATATCTATATGCACTTCACATGATATCGCGCCTGGCACAGCATAGCAAATCGTTGTGCACAAAGAAAAGGGTTTGCAAAACAGTCCCGTTACGCAAGCAAATGCAGATAGCCTTGGTGAAGTAATCTGATTACCCAACTGAAAAATATTTTATCTTAGAACGTCTTTTTATGTCATTACTTTATCATATCGCAGGTGCGTGGCTCAACTTCCTGCGATATCGGCCCTCCTACCAGCGTAGCGACGCCATATGACCCTTAATTGCGGAAGTGATTCACAAATCCCCAATGACATCCAAGAACCATGAAATATTCACATGCAATACATATACTACTTCAAAACCTTGAGGTACATACCTTTCGGGGAATGAATATCACTCCAGGGTTTTGTTGCTGCTTTACAGCTGTATCTAGCAGCGGACACCATTTTCCCTCTTGCCATTGCAAGAATCGTGTTCGAACCTTCCGTGGCGGCAGTCGGAAGACCATGTTTGGTGCATGAAGGCTTAGGCTGGCTTGGCTGGCTGCCAGCAACGGCGGACTTGTGCAGCTGAGGCCGTTTGGTTACGGAATCAATCTCTCGGGGGCTCTCCGTAGACGAACGTCGAGTCACGTGTGCACGCCAGGCGGGCATCGAATCACGTGTGCACCGTGCACCGACCGTGCAGCCGCGCTGGAGCTGACCCTGGCTGGCTTGCACTGCACCGCGGCGCAGGCCTGCGTCGCAGTTCCTGTGACCTTGACCTTGGCTGGCCTGCACCGTGGGCGCGGTCCTGTGACCGTGTCATCGCGCGCCGGCGGGTGGTCACCACATACGGCGCACTGGGTTCTGTCACAGCGGTGTGATATACCTTCTGCAGCTATGCTTTCCACTGTTGCACCACAGCCCTATGCACAGCCATCGCACCCCTAGCATGCATGTGAACCTGTACCAACGTGTGCATTTCACATATTATCCCGGTTTGTCATATCGTGTGCATTTCACACATCAGTTGTAAGCTGACCAAGATAAGCAGGAGGTCAGTGTGCGGTGCAGGGCTCCGGCGGCCGTGAGCGACCCTTACACGGTACGCGTGTGCGTGCTTCAGGCTACGCCTACATCATCGCGCCGTGGCTGGCGCTGGTGGCGGAGTCGCTGGAGATGTTCACACTGCACCTGGCCTGGATGGCGGCCGTCCTCTTCACCTCCGGCCAGAGCTCGCCCGCCATCGAGGCCACCACACAAGCCGTCATCACCGTCTGCCACTACGGCATAGGTCAGTGGATGGGGGATATCCCTGGAGGACGACAGACGGTCACCAACGTCTGCAACTGCAACATATGTCAGTGACGAGGGATGGCGCTGGAGGACGACAGACGGTCATCACCGTCTGCCACTGAGGCGTAGGTCAGTGAATGGGGATGTCGCTAGAAGACAGCCACAGACGGTAACTAACGTCTGCCAATGCGGCATGGGACAGTGGATTGGGGAAGCCATGCAGTGGCGAAGTAGTAGCTCCGTCGGGACCGGGCCCGGATTCCAAGCTGAAGGCCCGGGATCGAGTCCCGGCCGACGCCTTAGCTTCTGGCCTCTGGGAACAAAAGCCGGAGGGGGTCGCAGTGGCCTCTGGTGATACCCGGCTGCTGGTAGGCGGCTGCGCTCCGACCTGCTGGTAAACGGCTCCGCTCCGACCTGCTGGTTAGCGGCTCGGCTTCGACCTGATTGGTAAGCGGCTCCGTTCCGACCTGCCGGTAAACGTCTCCGTTCCGACCCTGCTGGTAAGCAGTTTCCGCTCCGACCTGCTGTAAGCGGCTCCGCTTTGACCTGCTGGGTAGGCGGCTTCCGCTTCGACCTGCTGGTAGCGGCTCGGCTCCGACCTGCTGGTTGGCAGTTCCGCCAAACCTGTTTGGTAAGTGGCCTTCGCTCCGACCGGCTGGTAAGCGGCTCCACTCCGACCTGCTGGTAAGCGGCTCTGCTATGACCTGCTGGTAGGGCGCTCCGCTTTGACCTGCTGGTAGGCGGATCCGCTCCTACCTGCTAATAAGCAGCTCGGCTCCGACCTGCTGGTAGCGGATCCGCTCTGACCTGCTGGTAAGGCGGCTCCGCTCCGACCTGCTGGTAAGCATTCCGCTCAAGCCTGCCGGTAAGTGGCTCCGCTTCGACCTACTGTAAGCGGCTCTGCTCCGACCTGCTGGTAAGCGGCTCGGCTCCGACCTGCTGGTAAGCAGGTCGCTCCAACCTGCTGATAAGTGGCTCCGCCTCGACCTGCTGGTAAGCGACTCCGTCCCGACCTGCTGATAACTGGGGCAGGTCGAACATCGGTTTAAGGCAACGTCAAAACTATATGAACCGGCTTCACTAACGAAAAGGCCCACGGAGGGCTCATAGCTCCGTTGCTAGCATACGCGCGCACTTAAGTCTCGCCGACAACTCGAACTTCACGAAATTTTCCACCCAAGAGGTCACCAGTTGCTGAACACGATGTTTATGGGACATGCGCATATGGTGCATGGATTCATGCCTCGCTTTGATGACCAGTGAGTGCTGGCCACCATTAGAGCACGCCGATAGCTTTTGTCCCTTTCATTGGCAAGTAATGGCAATTTGGGTTGCCAACTTACTGCTGATGTCTCCTTCTTGTCATCGCATTCGTCGTGTAGACCGTACAGCAAACGTTGGCTTTATATAATTTGGGCCCCAACATGACTCCGGGAATAAGTCTTCCAAATGGAAGGTTCACTTCTGAAATCTATTCGAGTCACATCCTCACGGCGACAACAGCTACATGGTCATGGTCACAACATCCATCAGCTGGGGACCATATGCGATCAGTGGTGGGGAAACAGAAGCTGTGAGCTCATAACAGCCCACATACAGCGGTCATATATTTTCGTTTGTTTGCTTTCCACATAAGGTGTCGGAATGCCGAGGATGCCCTCCGTGGTTTATATTTGAGCCGATTCGTCATAATCTGCAACCAATTCGGATGATATAGATTCGAATTGCATCAGCGTTCGAGGGGATATTTTCTTTCCACCTTGACACAAATACAGATGAGACAGACATCGACGCCGTCTGTCGGGAATATAGCACGGCTCTAGAGACTCTAATGCATATCATCGCCTATCAAACTCTGCCTACAGAATTTAACGATCTGAGCTATTTTTTGCCTTTATGACATCGACTCATTGTCTGTATACATTTACCCAAACCCCACGCATAACTTCCTACATTTTACCAAATTTGGGCTGTGAGGCGAGCACACAACCGTGCTGCGCCACAACTGGCCGAGGTTTCTGCCCCCAGTTACGTGGCGCCGCCCGGCTTTGCTGTGGCGGGCTCGTCGCTACGGGGCAGCTCAGCTCCCGAAGCTGCCTTGATCGCGGCCGCCGACCCCAGCACGGCCATAAGCAGGGCCATAACGGTACTCGGTCGGGGCAGAGTCCGGCAAGCCAGTCGCACCGGCTGGACGGCTCGGATCGCCCGCTCTCTGTCCGCGAGACGGCGGCCCTTCGCCCCGGAGGGTGTCAGGCATTGGATCAGCTGGCCTGCCTGTCATGTCTCAGTCCTTCGCTGTTCAGCCAATGTGATTGCTCTGTCTTGTGAGATCATTTCTTCTTTAAGTCATCAAGATGGAACGCATGTGCATTATGTTGCACATGCATGGATATGCATACGCTATGTTACCAGCGCGTACCAGTGCGTATGCTCACCGGTGCATGCTGTTGTTTGGCGTTCTAAGTTAGGACCACAGCACGCGAATTGTGAAATTGCGGAACGTACATATTCCTGAAATCGTCATGGGTAATCGTTGTCGGGCCAACCGTCCTACGCCAGAATCTATCACGCTTAGAAAGAGATGACCATGAGCTCGAAATATGTAGCAGCGCTCTCTCAATCGAAGGTGAAAAACTTACGTTTACTCCTGATGTTCTTCCTGGTTATTCAGCTGCTTTATTAGGCGATAATACTCAGCGGTTTTGAGTTAACAATAATGATGCGAAGGATTACGATAAGTGAAATTTAAAACCTACGAATAATCTAACAAAATTAAAGAGCTTCATGACCGCATTGTAAAACTGTGCTGTGCAAGTGAAGCGAACACCACAAGATAAACAGACGCCTGTGCTGAAAAAGATGAAAACTGTCTTTAAAAATGCTTCAAATTTGGTGATATTAAAGTAATCGTCACACATAATGAAATAAGTTCACTTAAAATTTTAGGTGTATTTTAGGCGGAAAAGAATGCTCTTAGCGAAAAAGAGTGCGACAAAACAATTGCTTAGCTAAGTACATATGGTCCTGGAAGCGTAATTGTATGATTACGTCATCGTACCTTGCACAAAACTGAAGAAGAGCCAATTGGCGGCTATATTTGGAAATCATATGCACGAACGTCAGATGTGAATGACTCGATCATTGCATTTTTATTGGCCTTGATCGCCGCATGGCTTATGGAATGACAGAATTTGAATGACGTTGTTATCATGTTATGTATACCGTGGGTGGCCTAAAATACTCTCCCCCGAAATAGTCTTCCCATCTTCGTGGAGATGTAGCTCAGATGCTAAGGGGGTTTATGTCTTAATATCAGGGCTGATAACTACACTGAATGATTTTCAAGATGGCTATTTCAGGCCAAAACCCCATACAGATGTACATAGAACACCCTTTTTAACACTATGGGACACGACCCCATAGCAACCCGACAAGCGACTGGTGCTGCTCGCTTGATGCAAACTCAAGGCTTTGGCCGGTAATTAACAATGGCACATTTGCCACCATTGCCGTGACGGCCGTTTCCTGCGGTTCCGTAAAATGCCCCCTGGTTTTTTTACCTCTACCTATTGTGACACAAGGCCTTAAAGGGATCGCTGCTTTTGTGTGATATACATCAATTCTATGTGTACCTGGATCCCCAAGTAAACTGGTGCTATATTTATCCTCTGTATCCAGCGTATCATCGCATAGGTATAGGTTCGTTTTCGTGCTGGTAATGCCTCCCATTACTTCAATGCAACAAACTCGCATACGTCATTTTGCAAGTACATATCTGATGCAAATCATGCCCCTTCTCGCACATACAACTGAGTTACATTGTTCGGTTATGTTTGGCATAGGTGGCAAAAACACGTTATACTGTTTATTCTTACATAGCCTACATCATTTGAGCATGTGCATGCATGCACATGACATCTGCGGAAATGTACACGATTTGCAAGACTTTTTCACGGGAAGCGGCTCCTGGCTGCTAGTTTTGAATCATGAAAGAGCTGGGGAATAATTTTTCATCAAGTCGGATATGAGAAAATTAGCACGGCACGTACTTGTGCTTCTTTAATGACTTCATGTGACAGGTACACCATCATTCCCGCGCATTGTTCTTACCGTAGGTGCAGAGGTGCGCACGAAACCCTCTTAAGGTCAACAGTGCCTTGATGTGAGTGCACTCATCTTTATGGTGCACGATAAAAACAACTGCGCGGTCGTGTGGGCGCCTGTGGTGGTGAAACGTCCGCCAAACATCCTTGTTACCGGGATCGCGAGCCGCCCACTTCCCAGCTCCGACAAACATTCCCTCTGCCGAGCTCGGAGTGCATGATTGTGTGTTTTGCTCTGGGTGTCAATCACCGGCGGCGACCCTGACTGCTGTGGGCTCGAGTTGGGCACGTCATCTGGCGCACCAACGGCATTATCCTGATTGATCCGGTTTCTGCTCGTCCGCGGTGTGGTACCGCTTGGCGCCGTCTGGTCTGGCGTCGCTGACCTGACCCACCAGACCAGACCATCCGTCTGGTGTCGTTGATCTGGTACCTGGCCGAACCTTTTCAACACAGGTCCCCGCATTGTGTGCGGACGGGTGATGCCCGCTGTGCTCACCCGGCTCGTTGGCCTCAAGTCCGGTCCCGGGGCTGGGGCGGTACGGTACCTGCTGATCTGACCCGTGTAACTTCAAGTTGCGGTCCCGGGCCAGGGCGGTACGGTACCTGCTGATCTGACCCGTGTGACCTTAGGCCGCGGTCTGGTGCTGGCGTGGTGGCAGTACTCGCTGATCCGACCCGCGTGACCTTGGTCGCGGTCTGGGGCTGGCGTGGTGAAGCACCCGCTGATCTGACCCGTGTGACCTCAGGTCGCGGTCTGGGGGCCGGCGTGGTGCGGTACCTGCTGCCGCTGACCTCCGGGTTCCTGCTGCTCTGCGCCGGCTCAGTGCTGGCGGCCCGCCTCCTCTGTGCTCTACATGCTCATCTACTACTGCTGCCGAACGCTGCCGCCCCGCCGGCACAGCTATGGAAGACACAAGCGGGAGATGTACAGCAGTAGCGGTGAGTGGCGCCACGTGCCGGCCGAGCCCACCTGATGCTCATGTCGGGTCCTGGACCCGATCCGGGAGACGCGGGAGCTCCCGGGGCTGCACAGCGAGGCGTCAGTGGTCCAAAAGTTGGAGGGCGAGGGGAGGAAAGCGGTATAAAACATTGAAGGTCACTTTGATTTGGAGCTCTAATTCTTTCCGCAGCTTGCTAAGCATGATCAACTTTTAAGATGTCAAACCTTATGAGTGGGGTCTGGGTCTGGCGTCCTTATGTGATGTTTGATTCGCTTGCTGATCGGTGCTTTTTCAACCCCCTTTTGGGCCTTACAACACTGGCACAGTACTTTTTTTCTATTCTGAAGTTCTGGGTCGGCGGGCAAGACTTGTTGCCGAGTCGGAACGCCAAAAATTAAAACTGAAATCCGCAAAAATACTTTGAGTTATCACTGCTCAGCTCACGTGAAGAGGTTTGCATGCATGCCATATGTGCCATTCCAACCACACACCAGTTCTCAAACTGGTATTACACATCAAGCACAGCAACAGGAGCTCATCACATTGGAACATAGGGGTGGTGAGTGTGTACATTTTGGGGATGGACATAATCCAGGGAGGTATTCCTTGGACACTGAGTTACCTTGTCGCTGCTGCTTCTTACGATGAAGTACGTCCTTTTTAAAATGTTTCACTCCAAGGATGTCATTCAGTCACTTGTCCATTGCCTGTACTAAGCGCCAGAGTCGTGTTCACACTGACTACTGTTCGACAGGCGCCATGCTGAACGGGACGTACGCGCCACTGAAGCAGCGCCACAATGGCGTCTGAGACGGCGCCCGAGCTCTCCAGCCGACCGGCAGAGCTCCCCAGCCGACGGGCAGAACTCCCCAGCTGACCGACAGAACTCCCCAGCCGACCGGCAGAGCTCCGCAGTTGACCGGTAGAGCTCCCCAGCCGACCGGCAGAATTCCCCAGCCGACCGGTAGAACTCCCCAGCCGACCGGCAGGACCCTGCAGCATATGGGTGAAGCTCCCGCCGACCGGCAGAACTCCCCAGCCGACCGGCAGAGCTCCGCAGCCGACCGGCAGAGCTCTGCAGCTAACCGGCAGAACTCTGCAGCTAACCGGCAGAACTCCCCAGCCGACCGGCAGAACCCTGCAGCATATCGGTGAAACTTCCCGCCGACCGGCAGAACTCACTAGCCGACCGGCAGAACTCCCCAGCCGACCGGCAGCGTTCCCCGCCGACGACAGAGCTCCGCAGACGCCGCTGTCCACGCAGTGAGTCATCAGGCAGCTTGTCGCCAGCTCTGTTGCGGAAACGGCTCGCACCAAGGCCACAGACCGCCGATACCTGAATGGCTCTGGAGAAGGCAGGGTCCGTACACCGCACTGCCCATGACGACGACAGCTAGAGTCAGAGCCACCATACCACAACGTCGCACTGACCACAGCTGGAGTCGGAGTCGGAGTCGGAGTCGGCAAGCACGGTCCGACGCCGGTGCGTGCCCTGGAGGTGGCCGCTGCCCTCTGTCGCCCGGAGGCCTCCTTTGAGACAGCGCCGCCAGTGTCACCATCTCTTGTCGGCGCCGTCCCGTGGTGACAACGCGCGCGCGCGCGTGTTTGTGTGCGGAGGACTGTGTCAACAGCCCTGTGACACGTGCCTGCTGACACTCGTGAGTGGGTGGAAAGGCGCCGTTGACAGCGAGCCGGCGCGTGAGAGGTCAGCGTCATCGGACCACACCGCCATGACACGAGCAAATGGTTTGCTTTGAAAACCTCGTGTCGTTGGCCGGATTAACGTCAACGCTACAATAACGATAGTTGGTAGCGTCAAGGCGATACATGTGCACTGAATTTGCCGGACACAGGATAGCCGCCCATGCGCTGCCACCAGCGGATCGCCCGTTCGCAGTGTCTGGCGCTGTAAGTCATGCAGTTACTAGAGATGGGTTTGCATCTTGTTAAATGTGAAAGGTCTTGATTTGTCTTACCGACCTTGTCGTATTACGTATTAGTTACGGTTGTCTTCAAATGCATTTTCATGATCATGTCATGTTGTTAGCATATATAAGAGCGTAGTTGGTGGATTACAGATTATGCCCTGCCACGATTCCCTGCGGTTTTTACTCAGCGGTGACTTTCTTTAAAGCTTTGTTTTCAAACAGCTGACAGTCGCCCCCGTGTCGTAGTCGGCCAAGACACCGATCCCGCTCCACTTGTGCGCCAAGCGGAAGCGTCGTTGACGACTCAGTGACCGCACATTAACGCCTGCTATGTCCACTGGGGCCATGTCAACCGCACAGCTGATTAAGCCGCGCGCGAAGTGATTGTTTTCCTTTTTGTTTTGTTTTTCAAATACAGAAGCATCCACGGTCTGGCGTATCGTGTGATATCGCTTCCTCCCAACACCGAATCAACATGCTTGATGTTTTCCAAAAGGAGGAGACCGATGTGATCTGGCGGATGCCAGGTCCCACCTTGCGGGTCTGTCATGGATCCAGTCTTCGGATCGGCATTGATACCAGCGAGTTTGCGGATCTTTGGATCCAGTGATCGCGTCACTATGCGGTTATGCTGTAATATTTTCGGTGCTAAGTCAAGCACCGGTTTCTTACGGCATTGTAAACCATCGCAACGTCATGCTAACTGGTCGCCGAACATGAGAGCCATGAGAGCCATTCCTGCCAGGGTGAGAGGCAGGCGACGCCATATAGCCTTAGTAGCTGGGTGCGTCCGTAAAGCCCCAATGACAGACAGACACAGACAGAACATGAGAGCCTAATGCGGGAGCACCGAAAAACAATAGGCACAACTAGGTCCAGATGACAACACGGGGTTGCAACGTCACCAAACCACAACGTTGGGCGAGACACAGATCATACATTTATCACGCTTTCCCATCGAGTGGTTATTCAAGTGTCACCGCATTCTTGCAGAAATATACTTGTCACTGTTAACATTACAGTCAAAGTTGTCACTCAGTTGTCACCCAGCTGGCTGGGTTGACTGGATATGAGTTGACTGATCTGTCACGTGAGTTGACATATCAGGACCACCTTGCATGCTCGGTAGCTTCCCATTAACAGTCTGCTGACTTCTTCTTTCTACGATTTTTTACAAGCCTGATGTATTGATAAACCAAGAACTAACGGCACAATCTGGAGACCTCTCAGTGCTTGATGTGTCCTTCTCACAGAAAAGAAGGGATACCTTTGCATGACTACGTTCACACAACTTGGGATTAGAATATATATATATATATATATATATATATATATATATATACCAGTCTCCGATTTGTGATATACGGACTGCTTTCTTAAAAGCCATGGCATGTGCGGACTTGTAATACAGTATAATTAGAGCGGTCATGGTTTGAAATCAAACATTTAATTTGTACTTTTTGGTAAGATATGTTTCTGTGATGTGAGCCCACGCTAAGCGGCTCTTGTTTGGTGAGCCCTGGCGCGATTGTAAACTTCCGAGTCAACGGCAGAACTTGGCAGCGAAAGCTTAACGCGCCGACATGACCGGCACAGTCCATCCTGCCCTCTGGCGCCAGCTGACCGTCAGAGCGGCCGTCGTCACTGGCCGCGGGCTGTCCCAGTCGGTGACCTACAGTGAACCCGGCAGTCGAACCCACCGCGCCGCAGGTCTGTGAAATGGAAGGCGGGGCACTCTTACCAGCTGAACTGTCGGGATGGACTAAAGTTAACTGCGGGACGGGACGATTTAAAGTGCGGCCCGGCGGTGTATCTTCCACCTCGTACCTCAAACGGTGCCGAGGAATGGAATCAACATTTTGTGAGGTGTGTCCAAGAGGTGCTGTGGACATTGGTATTGGAACACCGTTGACAGACTTCGCGAAGAGCTCTGACCATGACCGCAGCTTCGAGACGTCGAGTTTCGTCAAGATAGCGCAGCTTCGAACGTCGAGTTTCATCAATATAGCGCAGTTTCGAGACGTCGAGTTTCGTCAATATAGCGCAGCTTCGGGACGGCGAGTTTCGTCAATACAGCCAATGCTCTTTTGATAGCGCCGTTTAACCACTTACTCCTGCTATACCGAACGTCGATTATTTTCATCATGAGAACTCCGAACTCATCACACCGAAACACTAAATTCACAGCCTGCGTCGCTTATATCAACTTCCATCAGGTGTTCAAACGTTGGACGTTAGCTACGTTGAATAAATAGGGTGCTCCATGTTTGTGTTGGGTTTCGAACTGAGGTAGCCATTTTGAAGATCTCCCGGTGCAGTTCACAGCCCTGCCCGTATTACAATCTTAAAACCATCTGAATTCTGAACTAGACATTCACGAAATTGCGGAACTACTTCAAGGTCACCAAAGCATGCATAGCGCTACAGGCACGTCTTTCAAACATTGCCACCTTGTTGGCCATGCGGCGTCCAGGGCCAAGGCAAGAACAACCATTGGCGTATTCGCGTCTGGCGTACGTGAACATGATTTCTGGAGCCGAAGAACTCCAACAGACACAGATACAATTGCATAGGTCGATACAAATATTACCACTAGTAAAGGCCTCACGGCATGAAATAAAACGTCCTTCGGTGGTCAGGAAATAAACCCGAATCAATGACAGGACTGCAAACTGGCTGTGGAATGGACACAACCACAGGTTAAAAACCTAATACATAGCATCCCCACCGCAGATCACCTCCGCGTTTGCGATGTTTTTCCGCTATCCCTACCGACGATACATCCTGAGCGCTCCACTCGTGCCATCTGTCGGCCACGGCGGGAGTCAACTGGCTCGTGGAACACGGTGGACAGACGCACGAATGACGCGCGGTATAAGGTCGCTTACATACAGCAGCCGAGAAAACGGAGAGAAACAGGCATCCACCCTGCCCGAGATGCGCTTACTTTGATAACAACGCTCTTGCACCCATCCCAACACTGACCAAGGCTCTCATGTATCTATTTTAAACGCGTAAAACCGGTGACTTTCTGGAACATAATATCACTGTAGGCACTGGTCGCAAACTTATGGCGGTTTTCGGCAGCAAGAAGCCCAATTTTAGGCGTTGTTTAAGTATTGATACGTATCTCAAAACCTAAATCAGATGGAGGTGCTAAGCAACAGCACGGACAAAAAAGTACCATAAGTAGGGGAAAACACCATCTACAAATCACTACCGGACCTCAAAAACCGTAGGGCAAGTAATCGACCGGAAAGCAACCAAAGTTGGTCTGCTTTTTTAATAGCGCGAGGCACGTTGTCACGCTCCTTTTATACAGCGTCAGCGACTGTATTCGTCATGTCAAAGCTCAGGGCTCACGGGGCAACCGGGGTTAGAAACTGGGCTACCTCGTGTGAGTTCCAGGTGCTTACCACCTGGCCATTACGCCCCCGTGTCAGTCTGCTGATTTACAGCGTTAGATACATACGAATGGGGCAAATCAAATGACGTCAATAACAAGATTTGCAAAAAAGAAGCAAAAACAAAAAACACTCACGTGCACACGTTGACGAGGGTCATTGTGACGTAATCCGGGCATTACAACGCACTCTGATCATGAGGTCATATGACATCACCTGCCTCTCACAAGGCCGGCGCCACGGGAATTGAAACTCCATACCTCTGGTCCCCAGGCGCGCAGATGCACCAAAATACACTAACGGTACCCTCGGTGAGGGATCCTCAAGTGCATTCCCATATCTATTGGCATGGATCCCTAAAGACGACTGGTTCCACTTACTTATGTTCTGGTATCATCTCCATGAATATCATACTTCCGTTTGCTATGACCCACATCACCCCACGCTGCCAGCGCCTCACTAAGGCAAGTTGCTCAGCGCTGTCGTCGACAACAATGTAGCTATTCACTCTTTTCACCGATATATCTAATAATGTTCTGTTTCAAACCTCCATTCTTTGA